GGCCGCACCCCTGCCTGGCTTGTCGCTGGGGCAACGTGAACCTTGGCGTCAGGCCGGCACGTACCTGCTCCTGGCCCAGGATGATGACGCCCTGGGGCTTGATGGCGTGCCAGGAGGCCAGGTTCTCGCCAGCGCCCCGCTGCTCGCCGTCCTGGTACGCCGACCACTTGCCGTCCCGGGTGGTCCACGCCACGCAGATGTGGTGCCAGGCCTTGTCCTTCAGGTTCAGCGGCAGCTGAGCGACCTTCGTGAGACAAGCAAGAGCCCAGCACTCGGTGGGACTGCCAGAGGACCCCGGCATCCCCCCAGACCCTTGCAGAGCAAGCAATGCACCCCCACAGTGGCAGCACCCCAAATTCTACAGACATCTTTGACATGCTGCTTCTCCCTCTCAAAACGAGCCATCCTCCCCATTCTCCTCATTCGCCTGCCTCCCCGCTCCACCCCAGGCCCCTTCCTCCCAGCTCCTCCACCCTCGTACCCCCAGGAGCACCGTTTCCCAGGAGGGTTGAAGCAAAGGAGATGACAGCAGGGGCTTCCTCCTCATCCCCGCTCCGGCTGGACTGACCTTGTCATTGATGAGCAGCTCAAGGGGGTTGGTGCCCCATTCCAGCAGCACGATCTCGTTGGCTTGGCTTGGGACGGAGTAGGAGAAAGGAGTGCCGAGCCCTGCCAGGGCCTTGGACTTCAGCCACATGCAGATGGTGAAGGCGTAGAGCTCCGGCAGGCTCTTCTTCACACGGGCGTACATGTAGTTGTTCTGCACCGGGATGGTCACCTTGAAAGCGTCAGGAGGGCTGTAGCCCGGTGGTCCTACATGTCAAGGATGGGGAGGAAAGGTCAGGACCCATCATGGGGATGAGGGTTGCCTGTCCTGGGGCTCTCCTGAAGATGTACCTTGGGGTAGGGACCCCCCTGCACCACCTCCATCCCCATCAGGCAGGACTCACCATGCTCCAGCTCTGTCACCCGGTTCTGGAGGGAATTCAGCTCCTTCTCGATGTCGTGCTGCTGCTGGCTGCGGTCGGTGCTGGCGGCCTGGCGCTCCTTCTGCAGGGTCAGGATCTTGGAGAGGAGCTGCTCCTCCAGCTGCTCCATCTTGGTGTGGAGGGCGTCGCGGGCGAGCGCCGGGGCAGTGGGCACCGAGCCGTTGGTGCGGGCTGGCAGCTCCTGCTGCACTTGGCAGCAGCCGCCGCAACAGGGTGGGGGAAGGAGGGAGGAATGAGAAAGTTCAGCATCGGTCAATT